ACTCTGAGTCACATACCTTCTCGCTGCGACGAAGCCTGTCGGGCTAGCATAGCTGTGTTTTACTGCTTGTCACTCCCTATTAAGGGGTACCCAGTGGTTTTCTTATCTAACCTTTTCTTACTTCTGCAGTGTGTTATATATGTCAGCTACTTATGAGTTAACATGCACTGTTGTTTTCCTGGCACTATAGTTCCCTATAGTGCCCCGCTGCTTCCCCGTGGTGCAGAATGGGTTAAAACCCCTTCTGTCACTTACCTAGTTACTTTCTGTCACTTACCTTCTGTCATTTTTAATTATCATTTTTAAATATTTTAATCATAAACTGTTTAGTCTTATCTTTGTACTCTGCGTGGTTTTGCTCAAAATGACGTAATTTAACAGGTGATAACAAACTGTTTGGCAATATTTTCTTGCAAAGTACGCATTGTGCTTGAGGAATATTTTTATTTCTGGCACTTGTGAATCCAACTTTTAAGTAGCTGTCATCATATTTTCTTTTCATTTGTTTGAGAAGAAGATTGGCTAGCATTGTGTGCTTTTCTTTTTTTCTTTGACTTGTCACTTGCCTCTGCTATTTCAGGGACAGTAGATTCCACAATTTTGGACTTGTTTTCCTGATTTCTTGTTGTATCGTCTTTCTCAATTTCTATATTTGTCGAACAGTTGGAAGTAGTAATCATTTTTCTCTTGATAGTTCCTTGTTTTAACCAGATGTCCAAATTCATGGTTGTTGGTTGGTAAAAAAAAACAAAAAACATCACTTCTCTAACCTGGAAAAATACAGATCTCACTACCTGACTTCAATGGATGCTGTTAGAAAGAACTTAACGTAAGAAGGATTTTTTTTAATATATAGATTCTTAATTTTTGTTGTGCAGGTGATTATAAAGCATAGTCATACACCACAACAGCGTGCTTTTATATTTAAACATAGGCTAAACAGTGGTGTGTAATCGTGATTTGCTATTTTAAATCTAGTATTAACCACTCTGCTCAATTATTTTATCTATACTCTATGGAATTATGGCTTCTATAATAGGGATTTCTTGCCTATTATATATTATCAACCCTGAGTGAGTTTCATTGTTCTCGGACTCCTATAAAAAAGGCACAAGACCATTGTATCTGTCTAGCTACGTCATCTAGGAGTAGGTTCTTCATTTTTGTTCGGAAGGCTTGAAACTCAGTAAAGGAGCCACTGATTGCTTTGCCTTAGCTTTCCTAGGCCCCTTATGAAACTCAAATTGAGAGCGGGATTCCATCCTATTTTTGTGGGTGGCTATAGGAATGAGGCTACTTCAGAGTACAACCTTATGGGCTATCCAAATCGTTGTTCGGGTAACATCAGGAGGGTCTGAGACAGTTCGTCCACCACCAGTGGATCCTTCAGCAAGGAAGAATTAAGTTGCCATATCCATGGTCATGTGATGGCACTAGGCTGGATGCCTTTAGTTCCTGTTGTGTGTGATTTAAATAGTAGTGATACTTGTTACGGTTAGGCCTGAAACATTTCTGGAGAGTTCTGAATAAAGTTACTGTTTTGGGAATTAGTGTGTACCGGGTCTTCTTTTTTGCATTTGATAAACCTATTAAGTATTTGGACTGTTATCAGGTTTTCACAAGAGTCAGTTGGACACTTATTGAATGAAAAACTCACAAACACAGTTCACTAAAGTAACATTTATTTCTAAAAATGCACCACATGGTACAGGAGAGAGTCACAGAATACAAACTTGCACAGTCACTGTGTACAGAATATCGATTTAAATTGATTTGCTCTGAGACATCATCTCTAAAGTGCACAAAGCGGTAAACAACACACAATTCATCAGGTGGATAAGCTCTGTTGTCCATGATAGGATCTTTCTCACTGCTAGAAGTAGTTTTGGGAAATCAAATCTTCTTTTAGGGAGACAAACCATATTGTTGCTTTGTTTTATTGTATTCTATCAAAATTTTAGAGCAGATTATTGGCTGCTTAAAAAAAGAGAAAAAATATATAACATCCATTTTAAAAATATTAAATTTCTGGAAGTAATTTTTTTTCCCAGCAGAGTCTGATGAATGACATCTTAAAAGTTTACATTTTTTTACGGTTTTATTTCAACAATTGATAAAAGCTTATAAAATACCACAAAGACGTGTACAGGTGCCCCTCAAGATCTCCAATACAAACTATATTGTATCAAAGACTTTTGCAGTTAAAATATCATTGAAAAAATAATATTTTCACAAAATACACTAAGCCCTTGTCTACTATAAAACTATCTGCTAAAAAGGTGCATCAATAATTGAGTTTTAAGCAATAAACAGTGTATAAAGTACACTAAGCCCTCAAGAAAAATGGGGTGGGGAAATCCTCTGTATCACATCTTAATAAAACACACTGTCAAATAGCAAAATATTAAATCTGTCAATCATTTCAGTTCCAAAAGGCTGAAAGAGGTAATAGAGCTGGAAGTGCTAAGCACTTTCTTTACCTCTGGAATAGTGCCTGAAATTAACCACTTCACGACTGAATTTCTGTTTAAAACACAATTTAGAGTAAACTCTGATGAACAGTAATCAAACAGCAATTTCATGTATAGAAATGCTATTCATAGATAACTTTTACTTACATAAATTATTCCAATTGTATTTTTCATTTATTCATTCATCCTTTATATAAATATGGGGGCTTAAAGGGAAACTCATTAAACTTCATCTCATTAAAGTGGTCTGAGTGAAGTGTCCCAGTCCCACTTAGTTCTGCAATGTAAATCATTGCAGTTTTTGAGAAACTGCAATAATTACATCACAGGACTAAAACTGCCTCTAGTGGGCACTTCCTAGTTTGTATTTCAACCACTATAGATACCATTTAAGGATAACAAGTTTTAGATAGTATCACTTGTATATCTCTTAAAGGACCACTGTAGGCACCCAGACCACTTCAGCTTAATGAAGTGGTCTGGGTGCCTGGTCCATCTAGGATTAACCCTTTCTGCTGTTTCAGAGAAGCTGCTATGTTTACCTATGGGTTAATCCAGCCTCTAGTGGCTGTCTCATTGACAGCCGCTAGAGGCGCTTCCACGCTTCTCACTGTGATTTTCACAGTGAGAGCACGCCAGCGTCCATAGGAAAGCATTGAGAATTGCATGCGCATTCTGCCGATGACGGGGAAAGGAGGCGGAGAGTCCCCACCGCCGAGGGAGCCCGGCGGTGGAGAAAAGGTAAGCTTTTAATCCCTTTCTCACCCTAGAGCCCGGCGGGGACCTAGGGACTCTATAGTGCCAGGAAAACGAGTATGTTTTCCTGGCACTATAGTGGTCCTTTAATATTTCAGGCTGGGTCTGATATAATAAGAGCAGAAGCAAAAATACCATATTGTTACATATTACATATGCAACAAAAAATAGAATACAAAAATTGCTGATCGTGGATAGTATCAAAGAACCGGCTGACATATTTTTTCTTTTTTTTTTACAGGGGAGGCGGGGGTGTGGCTTTCAAAAGATAAAACCAAATATAAAAATTATATATTTTATGGGCTGAACACATTTGTATTCTACAAGGCATTGCAGGCTGCTGTAGGAATCTACAAAGAACTTAACTCCCTCAATCTGTATCCCCCCACTCTGGATTCTAGAATGGTGCCAAAGGGCCCATACTATAAGCCATATAGGGAAGAATAAATGGAAGTGGTGGTGATCAGCGTTTACAGTTTCTCTATTGATACAAATTAATTTCTCTACTCAATGAAGACCGACACTGGAGCGGAGAGGATATTTACTGGCACGTGATAGGCTAGATTTTGGTTTGTATTGCTTTTCAATGTAAAATGTAATTTTGCTTATTTATAGGGAAGGGGTTAACTTCTTTTTTGTAATGAAATCTAGTTTGCCCACACCTCTGCTCTACCAGACTGAAGTAAATAACTGCTATTATTGACTATATAGATGACACCTAATATAGAGATAAATAACAGTCAGCGTACGGTGAACACAACACAATATCTTCTCCATCGTGTTAATCAAAACAGGCTAACACTGTAATGCTATCCCCTCCTTATGTAGGGTAAATATATAACACATTAACAAAACCACAGCTAACACAAGTTCTGAGGAAGTCAGTTTGTCCAACAAAGAGTAAACATCTGTGTATAACATCGTAGTACAGTAATTCAGGGCTGGATTTCCCACAGATAAACTAAGGCATTGCTACTTACTAGTCTGACATAGTTGTGATGTTCACTTAGTCATATCACCAAACACTGGTGTCCTGTATGGCGGGCCATGGGTGTGCAGGCCAGCGACATGATCTGCATCTCTGGCCTAAACTAAGAATTGGCATTCATGCCAGGCTGACGTCCAATCACACATTACGGGTGGGACCATGCACAGAATAATATTACAGTGCTCTCTACACGATCCCATTATAATAGCGTAAGTGTGTAATAAAGTGTTCATTACAGTTCCCTGATGTCCTCAAATGGTGTCCAGCCCTGCATCTATTTCACTGTCCTTACAGCTCAACAAGTGAGCATACTACTATATACTGTAAACAGTTACACTAAACTGCTGAACGGCAAATTGTAGAATAAATATTATACAAGTGAATATTCAATAAATTCCATGTTAATTAAAGCATGCACAATATATCTGTATCTTAATTAACTGGAACAGGCTAGACTAAACATTGAGAATAATCACAGGCCACAGAATATTATAGGTTAGGCTCAAACACATTCTAGAGTGATACATTGGCAAGTGTAAATTTCGAATATTATTTTAATTTTATATTAAAAACCACAAGGCATGGGTAAGCTGCCATCAAAGAGTTACTACCATTTATTTTATTAATGTCAGACATACACCTTCTTTGGCATGATTAATAATTTGAGTAAACAATTTTCTAAATGCAATGTATGCAGTGACCTTATCTTAACCAGCAGTAAACTAGAGATTTGGTTCAAAAGTAAACAGAAATTACTAGTCTATTTAATGCAGTATAAAATAAATAGTGTCCAAAACAATCTCAGTTATGGAGAATTTAATTATTTATGTTGGACAACATTTCCAGTTTGAATATTTTGGTCTAAAATGCGCACTACTCTTGCCAACTTTAAACAATGCCTGGTTTAGAAAATAGACTAGTCTGTGTGGTCAAATCAGGGCCGGCGCGTCCATAAGGCGGCACAGGCGGCCGCCTTAGGGCGCACGGGCTCTGGGGGCGCAATATTTCAGTGACCGGCAGGAGGGAAGCTCTCCCTCCTGCCAGGCCACCATCTCGACCCCCGGCGCGGCAGTGCTGTGAACAGGCGCGGCGAGGGAGCTCTAATCTCCACCCTCTGCTCCCTCGCGCGCTGCCTGCTGATGCCGCGGGAGCCGGAATATGACGTCATCAACCCGGCTCCCGCGGCATCAGCAAGCAGCCCGCAAGGGAGCAGAGGGTGGAGATTAGAGCTCCCTCGCCGCGCCTGTTCACAGCACTGCCGCACGCCTCCCAGCAGCCCCAGGGACCGATCCATAATCTAGGGTGGGAGGCTGGGTGGAAAATATGTATTTATAAAATAATTATTTATAAAATAATTAGTGAATGCATGTGATGTGTGTCTGTGAGTGACTGTGTGTGTGTGTGTGTGTGTGTCTGTGAGTGACTGTGTGTGTGTGTCTGTGAGTGACAGTGTGTGTCTGTGTGTGTGTGTGTCTGTGAGTGACTGTGTGTGTGTATCTATTGTTGACAGTGTGTGTGTGTGTCTGTGGTGATGACAGTGTGTGTGTCTGTGAGTGACAGTGTGTGTGTCTGTGGTGACGGTGTGTGTGTGTGTCTGTGTGTGTGTGTCTGTGAGGTGACAGTGTGTGTGTCTGTGGTGACGGGGTGTGTGTGTCTGTGAGTGACAGTGTGTGTCTGTGAGTGACTGTGTGTGTGTGTCTGTGAGTGACAGTGTGTGTGTCTGTGAATGACAGTGTGTGTGTGTCTGTGAGTGACAGGGTGTGTGTCTGTGAGTGACTGTGTGTGTCTGTGAGTGACAGGGTGTGTGTCTGTGAGTGACTGTGTGTGTGTGTGTGTGTCTGTGAGTGACAGTGTGTGTGTGTCTGTGAGTGACAGAGTGTGTGTGTCTGTGAGCGACAGTGTGTGTGTGACAATGTGTGTGTCTGTGAGTGACAGTGTGTGTGAGTGACAAAGTGTGTGCGTCTGTGAGTGACAGTGTGTGTGAGTGACAAAGTGTGTACGTCTGTGAGTGACAGTGTGTGTGAGTGACAAAGTGTGTACGTCTGTGAGTGTAAGTGACAAAGTGTGTGTAAGTGACAAAGTGTGTGTAAGTGACAAAGTGTGTGTGTCTGTGAGTGACAGTGTGTGTGTCTGTGAGTGATTGTATGAGTGTGTGTGCGAGTGTATGAGTGTGTCTGTCTGTCAAATCAGTGAGAGTATGTTTGTCATTGAGTCTGTGTGTGACTATCAGTGTGTCTGTCAATGAGTGTCAATCAGTGTAGGTCTGTCAGTGTCAATGAATGAGTGTGTGTCAGATCAATGAGTCTGTGTCTGTCAGTGACGTCTGTGTGTTTGTCATTGAGTGTGTGACTGTCAGTGTGTACAGAGTGTAGCGGAGCAGAGCGCGGTACAGGAACTTCTGTTTCCTGTGCCTGGCCAGACTGACAGGAGGTGCTCACATAGAGAGCACTCCCTGTCAGTCCGGCCGGGTACAGAAAACTGAAGCTCCTTTAGGGGATCTGCTCCACTCGGCAATGCAACAATAGAGGTAGGAGGCACACCAGGAAGGGGAGTGTGACCACTAAAGGGGTGTGGGGTGCACCAAGGGACAGGGAGGGAATGGGAGAGAAACACCAAGAGACAGGGAAAAGAGGGGGGAGGGGAGAAGAACACTGAGGGACAGGGAAGGGAAGGGACTACTAATGGTCAGGGAGGGGAGAGGGGCTGGTTAAGAGGCACATAGATGAAGATGTTTTTTTTCGGGGGAGGGTGCGGGGGGGCGGAAAAAGGCATCTTCGCCTATGTACCTAAAAATCCAAGCACCGGCCCTGGGTCAAATGTCTATATTTCTCTGTAACATACACACATGGTTATTCCTTATTTTATATTTAGGGTTAAGGTAGCTGAATTAGAAGTATAGCTAATTGGAGAATATTTCCAGTATGGCTATTTTGTCCTTAAATTTGAAATTCACTCTCAATTCCAAAGGCTAAATTATTATAACAGATAAACCGTTATCTGGCAAGTTAATACAATATCCTATGATGTCAATGGAAAAAACTACTATTCAGTTACCAGGGTTACATTTATAATTTGCCTTGAAGCTAGTTCTAAATGTGAACCAGAACTGTCTGGAATTGTTTCAGCAAATACTGTTTGGGCATACCTATAAAAATATAGGGAAGAACATCCATATATCAATAAGAATTTTGGAATCCTCTTTACCTGTTACATTTTTGAGATTTTGAAAATTCAAAGGGAATTAAAAATTTTAGGTCAAAATTGAGAAATTAAAACAATGCTGACTTAGGGAAATATTCCAGATCAGCTATATTGGACCAAAACATGAAATCCTAACAATTCAGGACTTCTTGGCTAAAGTGCTAAGTAACATTAGGAAGATACTGGAAGATATATTATATCTGTAAGACTTAAAATACAATTATTTTGTCCCATCAGATTTCACAAAATGATTATGTTGTGAGTAGTTCAGGTATTGCAGTAGAAAATAGCTTTATTCATTAAAAGACATTGTTGGAACTACAGGTACTGACAAACTAATAAAAGCACCTGCCTTAGAAAGCCATACCAGGGTCCATTACTTAGAACTTTTACACCATATGTATACACATGACGTAGAAGATCCTGTACATTCAAATAGTGAGCTGGGCAGGTAGCTGGCTCTTTTGTTAATTGTTTCACCTATGAATTGGATCAAGGGATACAATGGCAAGGTGCTCCCCACAAAATATTCTATGCAATGAGCATAGGTGTTAAGGTAGCTATAATGATATAAACAAAAGAAAACATTAAAAAAAATCATAAACAATAATACAGTTCCTTGTACAATACTTATTATTAGCTATACTTAAAGTGACACTGTTACATTTGAGTTTTATGTAGAATTGTCATGGATAACTAGTAAAGGCAATACCAGAACGTTTGTGTGGTAAAGTTAGACAAAGTTATAAGTGCAGAATTATGGCAAAATATGGCGAAAGATAAAGCCTCCAACATTTATATATTTTTTTCATTAAGTTTACTGATGGGTAGTTTTCTTTTGGCGTCCAGTGATTAATTTGATTGACCAGTTATTATAAATGACCAGACTCCATACAGATGAGATTGATTTCTCTGATATATGGTTATTGGCTATGCTCATCAGTATATACACTTGGTGTTCTGAGTAAACTAATAAATAAGACTTGGGAGCTGGTGCAATGACAGGTCCATTTTAAGAAACAGAAAATTAACTGGCAGATTCTAGATGTTTCTAAAATGATATCCACTAAAAATCAGTGCCTTCATTTTAATGTTACTTGTGACATAATGAGTGCCTAGTAAACCTTGGTAGAGTCACTGAGTACTTTGGCCAATGTGGAATGTGATATGTTATAATCAATAATACGGTCGTAACTATTGGCTTAGCCATGAAACCCAAGGCAACTGGCAGCTCGGCAGCTCATTAACTCTACACCTCGAGCTCTAATCAGCGGACTATAGCCTACATGAGTCATCAAACCACTCAATTTTTAAAAATAAAAAATAATTTGCTACACTAGTGTCTAGATATTACATTTAAAAGTTTGGGTATGTGATGATTTCACATTTGGCCTGCTTACATTTTCCAACATATTTAAAGTACATGTGGACGCCAAGTAGTATTGACATCATATATGATTATCTCATATTAATACCATTTGTGCTTTATAATAGATCCCTGTTTAGTACCACCTGCCCTTCTACCAACAGCTAGTATTTTCTACTTAAAGTGCAATTAGTCAAATTATGATATACTTGATAATTGAGACATTGAGAAGAAGCATTATGCAACATTGGTTTTGTGAGCTACTGTAAATGGGTGGTAGTTTTTTTTTCTGGTATAATGAACAACTCTCTCAGCACCTTTAATATTGTTAATTCTGGGCAACCAAACAACATCTACCAAGCAGCTGGAAGATAAGGATTTTGTTTTTTGGACAGTTGCGGTAAGGTACAAGAGGAATGGCCTGGAGTTGGTAAAAATATATTTTACTTCCATCTTGTATGATGTCCAGAGATAAGACCACCTACTGATAATTTAAAGTTGCGCTTTGATATACCATTAGTGAAAAAAATATGCTTTTCATTTATGAAAACTAGACTGACCATCTTTTAAGCACAATTGTACTGCGTTACGAAGCTTTGCATTTTCTGTTAAGGAGACATTATGGCAGGCTCTGAGTCTGTGTAGAGCAGGGGACGCCAGCAGAGACGCTCAGCAGCTGTTGTGGCAATACAACGTCCATGGTACTTTTCTGACCTATGAATAGCTGAGCATCACCGACATTTTCAAATTTCTTAACAGATGGAAAGCTACCCGTTGGTTACCATGATGTAGAGATAACAGTTGACTTCAGTTTAAAAGCAGTAGTAGAGGAAAAACAGGAGACAGAGGATGATAGTAACAACAGCGATGCACCTAGAAAACAGACAAGAAACAATAGTTTTGTCATTGGTGGAACAAACTGTCCAACACAAATATATTCCACAATATTATAACAGTTAAAATTCAGGATACTGCAATTTTGCAGGGGTAGCGTAGCTCTACTGGACCTATCGCATATCTCCTCTAATTTCAAATGGACAAAGAAGAACACCTTAATTTTAGGGGAGTGAGTGGAGGTGTAATCAAAGGCAGGGCTGTTCTATGAAATTTTAAGCAACAATTCTTGCACCTAAAATATAATTAAGAACAAAACCAATGTATCTGATTTACACAAACTGATTTGTAAAAATATTTATTGTAGTTTAAAGACACGTTACTGTGAGTATTATTGCTGTTGAGCTCATTAGGATAGAAAGGGGGGACAGAAGAACATGGGTCCTAATAGGACACTAAAGAGGTATGGGTATGGTGAGACTAGATATGCTTCATGCTGTGAATAGTCAAGGTGGATAACCTCGTAGCAAACTCATATTTACAGTGGGTCACCAACGCTTTAATGGGATCATGAAGAAATAAAAGAAACCTAAAGTAAAGTACTTGGACAGTTGGAGAGCCAATGTACAAAGTATAGATGGTTATCAGGGATTTACAGATTACACAACGTTTTTTTCCTTAGACGAAAGGAAAGAAAATAGCATTTTCTAAATAGCAAGGGCATGTTCGTGTGACTGCTTCCCTTTCACACCTAGATACTATTAGATGAGATGAATGTATCTCATTAAACAGAACAGCCCCATAGAGATTTACACCTATATTTCACTTTATAAATCGTTCCCAGTTTTAACAGAAAAAGAAAAATAGATTCACCTGCAAACTTTTTTAACTGTTTGATGATGGCAACAATAGTTGATTGGTAAAGCCTCTCTAAAACTGCCTTGGTCACAGTTGGGCCACCTTAGTGTCCCCCAGGGGATGGCCAGCTGAGGCAGAATGGAGGTGGTGATGAAGCTGTAGTCTTTATAAAATTCCCAGCACTGCTCCCTCACGCCCGGAGGTGATGCCAGAAGCCAGGTTATGATGTTACTCTGGCCCCGACGTCACGCAAGGGAGCAGTGCTGGGAATATCATGAAGATTACACCCACACTGGCCCACTTGAGGCTGGGTAAACTAAAAACATGATGTCATATTTATTTTTAAAAATATTCTTTATTACTTATTGTCCTTTGATCAATGAGGTACGCTTGATGAACCTTACATTTAATTAGGCTTGTTCTGGAAAATGGGATTTAACTTAAATATCAGTGTCTAGACATTTCATTTGGAATTAAAATCAATAGAAAATACTTTATCGAGGCAGGGGTACTTGGGAATTTTTTAAAAAACCTGCAGGAGTACTCCGTAAAAGATTGGGAAAGTGCTCTAGAGCATGTAAACTTAGCAATTTGCCAATTCACCTTGATGCATTATATGTCACAATCCTTGAGAGTTCCTATGTGAGTTTATTGTGCTATAAGGCAACCTACAATATCTACCAGGTTCCTTCCTGATTGGTACTTATTTAAAATATTCTGTTTTATTTTAAAAGTAGTACAGAGTTAAGGAGATCTGCACCTTGAATAAGAACATTTTGTATTCCATGATAGTCAACCGGAAATATTAGTAAAATGTCTGAAAAGCTGCTAAACGGGCCACAATACGTTTTCTTATAAAATCTATGGAAACTGCCAAATATTCTAAATCTAATTTTTCCAGTTTGCTTATTTTGCCCTTAAATTTAAAATTCACTAAAATTTTCCCTTTAATTAATAACCCTGCCAAGCCAAATTTCCTGGGCTAAGCAAAATTAGTTCTGCTTTGTTTTAACATAAATGCTTCATGTTAGTAAGATTATTATTTTTAGAATTTAAAAGAACACAATTCTATAGAATTTAAAGGAACACTATGCACCATAACCACTACAGTTCCCTAGTGCCTCCCCAAGTAGTCAAGATGCTTCCTAACATTTAATTTGTTCCCACTTTACATGTAATTATTTTCTGGTAAGTGGCCCACTCAATAATTTCTAAGCAGTTATCTTCATAAATAGTTCTCACATTCCCTCATACTAAGAACAGCTGCCTGGTTGCACAGCTGTAGCTCACAATGTTGGGAATACTACATGTATTCAAATGGCTTTTATTTAGCAAACAAGTCAGTGGATATGATGACCCTACAATGGACTTGGCAGTGAGACAAATATTATTAACATGCATTTCACAAAAGAAAGATTCCAGTAATTTGCCTGGTATTAACAAAATATTTCAGAAATCAATATTTCATTTTAAAGATTATTGTATTATATTATTTTTTTCTTGACACTCAGATTTAGAAATTAAAGGACCACTATAGTGCCAGAAAAACAAACTTGTTTTCCTGGCACTATAGTGCCCTGAGGTTGCCCCCACCCTCATGGCCCCCCTCCCGCCGGGTTGAAGTTGGAGGAAGGGGTTAAACTCTTACCTTTCCGAGGGAGCCCGGCACTGGGGACTCTCCTCCTCCTTTGGATGTCATCGGATGAATGCGCATGCGCGGCAAGAGCCGCACGCGCATTCAGTCAGTCCATAGGAAAGCATTTCTCAATGCTTTCCTGTGGACGCTGGCGTCTTCTCACTGTGAAAATCACAGTGAGAAGCGCGGAAGTGCCTCTAGCGGCTGTCAATGAGACAGCCACTAGAGGCTGGATTAACCCATATGTAAACATAGCAGTTTCTCTGAAACTGCTATGTTTACAGCAGGCAGGGTTAACCCTAGAGGGACCTGGCACCCAGACCCCTTCATTGAGCTGAAGTGGTCTGGGTGCCTATAGTGGTCCTGTAAGAGCTGGTCAGTTTTTATTCTTGTGTATCATCATTGTGTCAATTCCTGATGATGATACTGAAAAGAATTGATCAAAAGCGCAGGAAAAGTGGTTGTTTTATTTGCTGCGATCTTTGTTCTTTTTCCCTCCCTCCTTCCCTATTCCTCTCCCCTTTTTACCTCTTTCCCTCAGTTTCCTTTCCCTTTCCATTATTCAAAACATATTTTAAATCTAATAAAGTGTAATTCTATTAAAAGTATCTATTACAAATACAGTGACGTATAAAATCAAACTCCATTCACACAACAATTCATACCTGTAGCATGATAGTGGAGGAGTTCGTTGGAAGGAGTCTCAGGGAAGTCTATAACCAGAGGCCAGAGTCTCCATATGTCATTCTATAACCCCAAGTTCTCAATACAAACAGCCTTCTCCATGATACAGCCTTCTCCATGAAGGAGAAGGCTTCATGGAGAAGGCTGTTAGTCTTGAGAACTTGGGGTTACAGCCTTCTCCATGAATCTCTGACAGTTAATCTGTAAAGGCAATTTCAGTCTACTTAGGGATCGCCTCAGATCTCCATTTTCTCGCCAAAAAGACAATTTTGGGAAATCCAAATGGAACAAAAAGAGTTCAATATGGGACTGTGTTAAACTTGTAAGTTCATTTTCTAACTTGACCTTCAAAGGTAATAGGCAGGTACATTTCCACCATATATGATGTATAATAGTTCATTTTATAGATTAAACTAGCAACAGATGCCTTACTTCCCTTTACTTGAACCAGGTGCATGACCAGAGATCCTGGTAATTCAGCTCAATCCCATGTGATATTCTGAGTGAAGAATGTGAAAGGAATTTGATTTGCCCAAGTACTGTGGGGATGGCACTAAGATCATAACTCCCCCTGTCCTATCCTTTTCTTCTTTTGAAGTTCACACTGTCCGCCTATTTAAACCCACTCCTTTAAGAACTGCCATCATCTACCGCCCCCCCCCTGGTTATCCTAGACTATTCATTGAGCACTTTTCATCCTGGCTTCACCACTTCCTCTCATGTAGCACTCCTTCCCTTATACTTGGGGATTTCAATATCCCAATCAATAACCCCAATTGCACTGATGCCTCTCATCTGCTCTCTGTAACCTCCTCCTTTGGCCTTACGTAATGGTCCAATTTAGCAACCCATACAGCAGGAAACACTCTTGATCTTGCCTTCACCAACCTCTGTACTGCCTCTAATCTCTCCAATATTCCTTTTCCTCTATCTGACCAACATCTGCTGACTTTTGACATTGGCATACCTAAGACCCAATTGACACCACCGTCTGAACATCACTCTCACAGAAACCTCCAATGTCTTGACCTACAGCATTTCTCCATTAATCGCCAAACTCTCCTTTTACCTATCTCAAACCTCACCTGTCCTAGTTCTGCAACCTCCTTCTACAATTCCACCCTCTCCTCTCAACTAGACATCATGGCACCTTGTACATTTAAACGCCGCAGGCCCCCCCAACAACAACCCTGGCACACCAAGCTCACTCGATACATCCAAAAATGCTCCAGAACTGCTGAATGCGGTTGGAGAAAGTCTCACTGTGCATCTGACTTTCTCCACTATAAACTTATGCTGAGCTCATACAGCTTGGCTCTTTCCTCTGCAAAAGTTAATTACTTTAATACCCTCATAACCACACTCTCCCGCGAACCCAAATGACTATTTCACACATTTAACTCTCTTCTTTGCCCTGCTGTTCCTCCTCCACCTTCTAACTTGACCGCCTCAGACTTTGCAACTCACTTCACTGACAAGATCTCTACAATCAGAGAATAGATCTCTCATCTTTCTTCTTCCCCTTACAATACTTCCCTTAACTTCACTCCCTTTGCTGTTCTATGTTCATTCGCACCCACTACATTGGAAGAGGTTTCTGCTTTGCTCCAGTCCTCCCGCCCCACCACCTGCTCCCTAGATCCAATTCGCATCTCATCCGTACTCTGTCTTCTTCTCTTTCTCCACTTCTCACTAAAATTCTCAATCTCTCTTTCTCCTCTGGTATATTTCCATTGCCCTTCAAACATGCAACTGTAACCCCAATTCTAAAGAAGCCAAATCTTGACCCTAACTCCCCATCCAACTATCGTCCTATCTCGCTACTGCCTTTTGCATCCAAGATCCTTGAAAAAATTGTGTATGCGAGATTGACAGACTTCCTCAAGTCCAACTCTCTGCTAGACCCGCTTCAGCATGGTTTCCGCGCTAAGCACTCTGTGGAAACGGCACTGACCAAAGTATCCAATGATATACTCGCTGCAAAATCTCGTGGTCACTACTCTATCCTAATTCTCCTTGACCTGTCTGCGGCTTTTGACACTGTTGATCATCAACAGCTTCTTCTCATCCTCCGCAATATCGGTCTACAAGATATTGCTCTCTCCTGGTGCTTCTCCGACCTCTCCCAGTGCTCCTTCAGTGTTTCTTTCTCTGGATCTGCTTCTTCTCCCCAACTCCTCTCTGTTGGTGTCCCGCAAGGTTCAGTCCTTGGTCCCCTGCTGTTCTCCATCTATACTGCCTCCCTTGGTAAACTCATTAGCTCCTTTGGCTTCCAATATCATTTCTATGCAGATGAAACGCAAATCTACCTGTCCTCTCCTGATCTCTCCCAGTCCCTCTTGACTAGTGTCTCTGATTGCCTCTCTGCTGTTTCTAACTGGATGGCTGTCCACTTCCTTAAACTAAACTTGACCAAAACTGAAATTCTGGTCTTTCCTCCCTCAAGTGTTGTTACTCCTGTGTCTGTCTCCCTTCAAGTCAACGGTGCTACCATTAGCTCCACCACGCAGGCTCGCTGCCTAGGTGTTCTCTTTGACTCTCCTTCAAGCCTCATGTTCAATCTATCGCCAAATACTGTCATTTCCATCTCAAAAACATTGCGCGCATCTGCCCCTACTTAACGCCAGATGCGACTAAGGTGTTGGTCCATTCCACTGTCCTCTCTCGCCTTGACTACTGTAATCCGCTTCTCAGTGGTCTTACGTGCTCCCAACTTGCGCCGTTACAGTCCATAATGAATGCGGCGGTGAGACTCATCTTCCTGTCCGCCTGCACCTCCCATGCCTCACCCTTCTGTCAGCCCCTACATTGGCTTCCTATAAAATATAGAGCTCAATTTAAAATTCTGGTTCTTGCTTTCAAATCTCTACATAATGCTGCTCCCATCTATCTATCCTCCCTTATACACAAGTACCGTATGTCCCGTCTAGGCCCTTACGATCTGCTGAAGACTTACATCTATCTTCTGTCCGTACTCCCACCTCTGATGCTCGCCTTCAAGACTTTTCCAGGGCTGCACCGTTCCTGTGGAACTCGCTTCCCTCCTCCGTTAGATGCTCACCCAGTCTCCACTCCTTCAAAAAATCTTTAAAAACCCACTTCTTCATAAAAGCGTTTCAATTAAACTGTTAATAGCTCCTGACTGATTCCTCTTCTGCAACTGTCACTGGTCTAATACTATCCTTACCTTTTTGTGTCATTTTACCCCACTCCCTCTAGCATCTAAGCTCATTGAGCAGGGCCCTCAACCCCTCTGTTCCTGTGTGTCCAACTTGTCTGGTTACAACTACATGTCTGTTCGTCCACTCATTGTAAAGCGCTGCGGAATTTGATGGCGCTCTATAAATATCATAATAATAATAATAATAAACATATCAGGGACTTCAGTCATTTAATCTAAAGCTATAGTTTTAATTGACCCATGTTGGTGTACACCACCTCCTGTGAGTATTACTTACTTTTACTCAATTGTTGCGATGGTTTCGTCAAGGCCACTCCACCTCTCGAGATTGATGATTTCAGCTACCAAACCAATGTATTGGGAGGATAGTGCGCATGCGCGGCATTTGATTGAGAACCGAGTCTGACTCAGTTCTCACAGGGAAGTCAGGAAGACAACCACTAGTAAAAACAAACTACAAAAACTACAATGTTTTACATCGTAGGGCTAAAAAAAAAAAAAAAAGGGTCAATGAACCCTGACCACTCAAATGAAAAGGTTGGGGTGCTTTTGGATGTTTTTTAATCAAATTAATACTGAATCAGCCAGGTTATGGTTTAAGTATATGGGAATGAATAGCCACCATGCAGTCCTAGGACATGTGGGGTACCTACTGTGGGTCCCATCAGGGCATGCAGCCTCCTTGCGACCCCGTGTCCAAGGTCCAGGATGATGGTATAGTGGGGTGTTGACCCCTTACGCTGGTACAATTCGGCTCTGCCCAGCGTTATACATTGGTGTGGATGGGAGTAACCTAAGGGGCATCCTGCGTTTCATCTAAACTAGTAACGTTTGTAACTCGCGGAACTGGCGCTCTTCCACCCCCCGTACCCGCGGGGCCGTAAGCAGTTTTGGGTACTGCAGGTGGCCGCACCCCGACAGGTATCATACCCCCCCAGCACACCCCTGAGGGGTCGGCCCCCCGCGTCCCGAGCCCGTGCTCCTCCCGGACCTGCCAGTGTGTGGGGTAGGGTGGGGTACTGCGTCTTGGGCCAGGTGTGGGTCGTCCCGTTAGGCTCCTGGTGTCTCCTCCTGGAGGTCGTCCGTTCCTCCCCCCATGGTCAAATGCACAGTTCGAAATGCCTCCGTTCCCACCCGTGTCAGCCAGGGTGTCCATGTGTCTAAGTATGTCTGCATTTGGTCTAACTCCTCCATTCTAGTAAACCACAGGGAAAGCGTTAGGGTTGTGTCTTTTTTCCAGTACAAAGGTATTAGGTGTTTTGCGACATTAAGAATGCGGATGGTCAGGGAGCGTTTGTATCGTGGTGTGGGGGTTGTCGTGTGGTGCAGGAGGTACGGGGCGGGCTGGAAGGGTGGGACATTGTCCGTGAACAGGGCCACCATGGCTGCTATTTTCTCCCAGAACGGTACTATGAGTGGGCATTCCCACCATATGTGGAGGAAGGATCCTACCCCTCTCTTGCACCTCCAGCAGAGGCCGTCCGTGTCTAAGTGCATTCTCTGTAAGCGTTCTGGTGTCAAATACCATTGTGTGAGGACCTTGTAGGCCGTTTCCTGCGTTTTGCTAGCAATTGCGCAGTGGTGCACTAGGTCGCAGATCTTGTGCCACTGGGTCTCGGTAAGTGTTTCTCCTATGGCGGTCTCCCATTTGGACATGAAGGGGGGTGGGGGTTGTCCCTGTTGTCGTTGTAGAATAGAGTAGAGGTGGGAAATGCTATGGGGCATGGGCTCCGGGTCCTGGCACAACTGTTCGAATTGCGTGAGATCCCTATAGACATCGGGGTGTTGTGGTATGGCGGTGATGTAGTTCTTAATTTGGGTGTACCTAAATGTCGTCATGAAGGGGTGGGTGGGTGTGACCGTGAGCGTCTGTAGGGGCAAGATTTTCCCATTGGCAGTCATGTCTCAGAGTCTGGGTATGTTTTGTGGGAGGACGCAGCGGAGGTTTCCTGGTCTTACCCCCGGTTCAAAGTCCGGGTTGTACACCAGGGGTAGTAGTGGGGATGGGAAGGAGGAGAGGCGTAGTTTCCTCGCTTGTGTGTGCCATATGGTTAAGGTGGCGGTGATGAAGGGTTGTTGGTAGACTAACCGCCGACCCGTCGAGGGGTCCAGCCACAGAAGGGCTGAAAGGGGCCTGCCTGCGTGGTGGGTTTCAATGGCCTTCCATGGTTTGCTTATCCCCTCTTTTGCCCATTCCAGGGCCCGTTGCATGTGGCATGCTTGGTAGTACAGTTTGAGGTCAGGAACGGCCAGGCCTCCTGCTGTTTTGGGGAGTGTGAGTTGTGTGTACTTGAGTCTGGGTTTAGTGCCCTTCCAAATAAATTTAATGAGGAGGGTGCGGAGTGCTGCGAAGAAGGTGCTAGGGAGTGGGATTGGTAGTGTCTGGAATAGGTAGAGGACCCGTGGGAGGATGTTCATTTTGGCAATGGCAACCCTGCCAGGAAAAGTGAGGTGTGGCCCATTCTGTCAGATTCTTCCGTATGGTTCCCAGCAGTGGGGTGAAGTTCATATGGTATAGTTTGGATAGGTCGGCCGTGAGCCTCACCCCTCACCCCCAGGTATTTAATAGCGGTGTCCCGCCATTGGAAGGGGAAGTTCAGTCTGATTCGGTCTGCCCTCCTCTGGGGGGAGCCAATGTTGAGGATAGAGGATTTGGCATAATTGATCTTGAGGTTGTCGATTTGGCCGTATGTCTTAAACTCTGCCATGAGGTTTGGGAGGGAGATTTCCGGGTTAGTAATAAAGAATAGCATATCATCCGCATATGCTGCGATCTTGTGGTGGTCTGTCTCCACTGTCACCCCTGAGATATCTGGGTTATCCCTTACCGCATGTAGGAAGGGCTCTAGGGCCAAGATGAATAAAAGCGGCGACAGGTGGCAGCCCTGCCTGGTACCGCTCCTGATCGGGAATGCATCTGTATAAACCACGTTTATGCACACCCTGGCCGTGGGGGATGAGTAAAGCGATTCTATCCACCGGCGCATATGAGTCCCCAGGCCGACATGTTCTAGTACCGAGAATAGATAGTCCCATGCCACCCTATCGAAGGCCTTCTCCGTGTCCGTGGAGAGGAGGAGAAGGCTCTCCGAGGTGCGCTGCGCGTGGTGGATCAGGGAGAGGGCCCGGACCGTATTATCTCTAGCTTCCCTGTGGGGGACGAAGCCCACTTGGTCAGGAGAGATTAAGTCTGGTATGTGTGGGTTTAACCTTGTAGCTAGAATTTTAGCAAACAGGCGAAGGTCGCAGTTAAGTAGCGATATAGGTCGATAGCCCATACACCGTTCGGTATCTCCCCCCTCCTTCGGCAGCAGGACAATGTTGGCCGCCAGTGTTTGCTGGGCGATGGTATGTCCCTCTGTTATGGAGTTGAAGGCCGAGATATATCGGGGGGACAGTGTGGTCAGGAAGGTTTTATAGTATTTGAGGGGGAGGCCATCTGGGCCCGGGCTTTTGCCTGTCTTTGAGGCTTTGATGGCCAGGGTCAGTTCCCCCTCCGTCAGGGGTGCCTCCAGGGCCTCCGCTGCGTCTGGGGAGAGTTTGGTTTTGGTGTATTTAGTGAGGTATGTGTTTATGCGGGTCGCTCCTAGGCTCGGGTCTGCTCGAGGGGCGTGGGAGGGGATCGCGTAAAGGTCTGTGTAGAAGCGAGTTATAGCTGCAGCGATTTGGTCTGGCATGTGGTGTAGTTGGCCTGCGGCGTCGCGCATGCGTGCGATGTATGTCATGGAGCGTTTTTTATTGATCATTCTGGCCAGCAACCTGCCGCACCTGTCTCCTTCTGAGTAGAAAAAGGATTTAGTGCGCTGAAGGGCCCTAGTGTATGACTGCCACAGGACCCGTGCTAGTTCTTCCCGGGCTGCTGTGAGTTCCCCGAGAAGTGTGTCGTCTAGTGTTCGTTTGTGGGCCTGTGTCAGGGTCCCAATCTTGGCAGTTAGTTCTCGGATCGTATGTTCTCGCGCCCTTTTCAGGGCAGAGGAGTGTGAGATAAGGATCCCTCTAATCACACACTTGTGGGCCTCCCATGTCAAGAGGGGGGATGTGTCCTGCGGTGGGTTCTCGGCGAAGTAATTCGTCAGGGCTTGTTGTACGTCTCGGGTCACCTGCGGGTTGGAGAGAAGGCTTTCGTGAAGCCTCCTTGACGTAGTTTTGGGTTTGTATAGTGGCGATGTGAGTTGAATCGTGAGTGGTGCGTGGTCGGACCACATTGTCCCCCCCATGGATGAGTCACGCAGTCTGGGTAGGTGGTAATATGGAAGGAAGAAGTAGTCGATGCGTGTGTAACAGTCATTCGGGGTCGAGTAGAAGGTGCAGTCCCTAGCCGTCGGGTGCGTCGCCCTCCAGCAATCCGTAAGCCTGTACTGGTGGAGCAGTTTACAAATTTTGAGCAGTGTGGGGGGGGGTGTCGATGAGTGGCCCCTGGAGGCATCCATCGTTGGGTGTAGGGCGACATTAAAGTCCACTCCCAGGACCAGACAGCCTGTCGTGAAGTCGTGCAGGGCCCGGAGTGTGTCCCGAAGAAATTTATCCTGTCGTGTGTTTGGGGCATAGATGTTGGCAAAGGTATAGGTTTCGTCCAGGATTTTACCCCTAACAAATACATATCTGCCCGAATTATCCGTCATGGTCGAGTCAGCTACGAAGGGTATGGATTTGTGTAGGAGTATTGCTGTCCCCTTAGATTTCCCGTCCGGGTTATTGCTGTAGAAGCCTTGGGTGTATATGTGGTTACTGAGTTTCGGAGCAGAGTCGGTTTTAAAGTGGGTTTCTTGGAGATAGACCACATGGGCTCTAGTTTTCTGGCAGAGGCGAAGTGCGTGAGTTTAAGCCCTTTGCGTTTAGGGATAGGAAGTTGAGTGGGGCTGGTGCGTATTTGGACACAGGTGTAGCCATATTGTCAAGTCCCCCAAGTGTCTGAGTCGTCCCAGTCCGTGGGGGCGGGCCCAGGTAGGGAGGGCCTGGTCTGGGGCAGGCAGGGCGGAGCTGGTTAGAGGGTATCCCCGTGCAGCGGGGCACGGGGGGGACCGCCCCTGTTATGGAGCAGAGGCACCGGCGTCAGGGGGTAGAAATCCCCCAGCCCGGAGAGCGGAGCGGGGGACGACCCCCCCCTATACAGAAGACACCGACCACGCGGGGAGTGGAAGGCGCCTTGTCAACCAGCCAACAGAAGTGGTTGTGGATCACAACAAACACAATTGTAACTCGAACCTGTGATATACTTTTGTCGCGTCTCCGGGGCGAGTCTCCCAAGGTATGGTCGGGTTCCAGCCAGAACTGCGACCTCTTGGTGATACCTTTGTGTGTCTGCGGGAACTCACCCCCGGGTCCCGACATTGTCTAGTCTGAGGGGAAGGTCTATGAGCTGACCCAGGGCTTAACCCTCTTACTACAGCTCAGATGTCTAGGATGCACCCCCACCCAGCCTCCCACCAGCCCCCTCCCCCACGTGCACCAGTGTGGCCCCGTGGTGCCGTTCCTCTCGCCCCGAAAGTGGTGTGGAGAGCCTGTGTCCCCCCCGAGGGCATCCCAACTAGTGGACCCCCATTGGGTTCCCCCATCTGTATGGAGGTGGGTGGTGTTGCTCCGGGGTCAGCCCATCGCTGGTCTGTGTGTGCGGGTGCTTGCGCACTGGTATATACAAAGCTGTACCCCGGTGTAGCCTATTCTGGCACCTCTCCAGTGTTGCATACGAACCGATAGACATTTTGAACTTGCACAAGTGTATAACCCGTGAGATAAATAGTAGACAAGTTTAGCATGTGTAAGAGGCAATTCTAGCATAAACAGGCATTTACCCCATATTAAACAGAGATAAAGCAAGTGGGGAGAATGATGGAGCAAGTCCAGAGGGAATCCTACAAATAAAGTGACTATAGGAAAGCTCCTAGGAAAGACATACCATGTTACTTAAAATGTGATAGGCTATTTGAGCATGCACGGGCGTGTATGCACGGCTACCTACCGACCAAGGCGCCATGTGAGCATGCGCAGGCACGTATAGAGCGGTCAATGCAATGCAGCAGGCAATTTAAGCATGTGTGGGCGCCTATGCCATGCTATGTGCCCTGCAGTGGGTCGTGGCAGCGTGTGCGGGCGCATATGCAGTGGTTTGTAGCGTAAAGGGTGGTTGCAACCTGTGTGTGCGGGTATGCGCGTGATATACCATGCCGTAGATAGTTTTAGCATGCGTTGGCACATATGCGGGTTAGGGACAATGCAGTGGGACATCTCAGCATGTGCAGGCGCGAAACACAGCGCAGTGGGTGCCACCACTTGCAGGCGCTACTAGGAACCCCAGTCCCTTGGGCCACGTCCCCCAGCCCACCCACCCCCCTCGGGGTGGACGGGGCTCCATGTCCATGGTGAAGCTTCTGAGCGGCATGGCCGTAGGAGGGGTATGGCTTGGCAACCATTCGCACTGCCCGGCAAGGGGTGCTATTCCGGGGAGCAGAGTGCCAATGTGGGTGTCCAATCGATAGGTTGGCCAAGTTTGTGCCTTGAGACAGTGTCCAAGTCCTGTAGCGGGACTGTGTGTGCCCCAGAGAGGGCCAGGCCGGTGCGGGGCATAGTGTGGGGAAAGGGGGGGGAAAGTCATGCCCTCTAGCGGGCGGTACCTGTAGGTCTAGTGGCCTCCTGGCGTCCCGATCGAGTGCGTTGCGGCAGCGCCGGTCTCGGGTAGGGGTTTCTTGCGGTGGTGTAGATGTCCAATGGGTCAGGCCATCTCATGTTGATGGCGGGCAGTTGGATCTGTTGAGCCACCAGTACCTTCGTGAGTGGTTTCAGGGCGCGTCGGTAGGTTAGGGTAGCCGGCGATAAATCTGGAAAGAGTTGCAGGTCTTGGTTTCAGTAGCTGAGCGTTTGCTGGCCTCGTGCTTGTTTAAGGATAGTCTCCTTTAGGGCAAAATTCGCCAGGCAGCAAATGATGTCCCTGGGTGGGCTGTCCGGCGCGCCCTTAGGACGGAGGGCTCTATGAGCTCTTACAAAGTCTATAGGTGCCTGGTGATCACGGCCGAGGATCCCATTAAATATTTCCAGGAGGCTTTCCTGCAGCTGTTGGGGGGAGTCCTCAGTTTCAGGGAGGCCGTGCAGCCTTAAGTTATTGCAGCGCCCCCTGTTATCCAAGTCCTCAATATGCAGGGCCATGCCACGTACCTGTTCTGAGGAGGTTTCTGCAGCCTCAGCAAGTGTATTCTGGGCCTCTCTCAAAGTGTCACAGGCTGCCTCCACGTGGCTCATCCGGTCTGTCAGGCCCTGCAGGTCAGCCCTCAGCGCCTGGATGTCCTGCCTGATTGTGGCTCCCAGTTCTGAGGTGGCCGAACGGAGGTCTCCCTTGGTGGGCAGGGCTCTCAGGAGGTCCAGCCATGGGGGTCTTTCCGACCCTCCGGTGTGCAGATCAGATGCCGGCGATGAGGGCGCGGAATCTTCCGACGCCATTATGCCGTCCACGCCATGCGGCTGGGTCGCGAGGTCCGTGGGGGTAACCAGGAACTGGCAGAGGGACGAGGTAAGTTGTCCCTTTTTGGGCTCTGGGGTCTTCCCGGTCGGTGGGGCCCTGTTTGACCTCCCCATGTCAGCGGTGGAGCGGGTGGGCTTGTGCCGGTGAGTCGGGACCCGGGCGGAGGGAAAAATTATGCGCCCATTTGCTTAGGCTGCCAAACCACACCCCCTCAATAGGCTATTTAACCTTTGTTCTGCCCTCAACCAGTGCACTATTGTGATTGCTCGTTTGTTTTCTCTCATTTGTATATAATTTATATATCAGTTCCTCCACTGTCAGCTAAGAAACCATTAAAAATATAAGCTAGTGTTATCATTCAGCAGTCACTACCACGTTTGCTACCTGGTACTGCATGCAAACTTGTGTATATTTGTTTTTATTTATTTAGCTGCATTACACACAGTTTTTATATTACGTGTATGAATAATTGGATGAGTTCTACAAAAAAAAAAAACAGACATTCACCTTACATCTGCAAGTAAAGAGAGTCAAATTGGGACTATGCAAGTGTAAGGTCCCTGACCTTAAATATTATTTGAAAAGTTCTGAGCAGCTGCCAACATAACACATAAGTGCAATGGTGTTAATGATGCCATTTTGTAGGTCGTGTAAAAACAAAAGGGTGGAAAACAGTCTTAAGAATATTCTCCACCCGAACACGTCTGTTCGTAAAAAATAAATAAAAAAATAGACCTCCAAATCAAGTGTAAACAACACCAGCACTCTATGACTATTAACCCAGTAGTATTTTATTGTGTTTAGTACTGACTGGAGCACGTTTTTGCTGCTATCTGTACAATCATAAGTTCACTTTTTTCAGTTAGTTCACCCACATATACTATATATTGTTTTAGTACTGTTTCTTGTTATATATATATATATATATACATTTATATATATATATATAATATTATTTTATTTCTTGTGGGGAAAAAATAATGCAAAAAAACACACTTTGTTTCAGTTTTTCCTATAATAATGTTTATATAATAGTGCATCTATAGAAATGTACTTCAAAATAAATTCATTTATTTGTCCTGATTTAAAGCATATATCATATCTAGTATTTCATTATTTTTTTGTAGTTACAGCTCACAATTTGCACAATACCATTTAATAGGAACAATTCTTCATTTCAGCCATGCTTCTACACGTAAGTGTTTATGTATATCTATCTATATTTCTTTGAAGTATGTATGGCCGGCTAGTGAGACAGCTCAGTGGATATATCTCCAGGCATACTAAGATTTCCAAAAAGCTCAATGCAATCTTTTATCTTTCTGATGGTGATAAACCGAGTACCACAATAACATGTAAACCCTTCCTCGCATGACATGCTTGAAAATAAATTCTAGTTAAATACATGTATATTATTATTATTAGATCATTTGCTATGGTGGGTGTCAAATACCTGGAGCTCAACTCAAGTCCTATGGGACTGAAGAGTGATAAATTGGGGATTAGTTTCCAGCCACCCCCAGCCTCTGACAAGTCCATCTGTCCCAAACAGATGTGTGTCATTATGCAATAGGAAAATTGCTGTCACTTTTATTTTTTATTTGGTAGAATGTGGTAAGCAATAGAGATGCTACAGCAAGCTGTTATGTCTGGACTACACAGACATACTCAGGATCTACTCAGAGGGTGAACATCTAATGTCAATTTTGCCAATTTGAGTCATGGCTTATTAGTAAATAAATATTTATCAGTACTGTACCTGAATTTATTATAAAGAGGTTTATTCACTAACAGGGTAATATAATATACATGAAACTGAGAATTGCAAGGAATTCCAAATTAATTTAAAAATTTAGACTAAAATAGCTGAGCCAAATGTGAAAATTTTGCCAAATAAATTCAATTTTCAGTTGAACTATTTAGGCCTTGAAGGGGGCCTGTCATGCTCCAAAATACTTATAGTCCTTGGAAAGAGCGTAACATTCTATCTATTTATTGTGCTAGCACATGTATAGTTTGGGAGAAAAAAACTGTTTAAAAATAGGTCATTCTCCCTAGCTTGATGATTTGTCTGACAAGGGAGAGCAGAAAAGACCTCCCACAGGCAGTCCTTCTGCTCTCCCAACCACAGCACATCCTATGGAAATTACCTAGCCAATGCTGCTTGCGCTGACTAGGGAGTATAGGATCTCCAATCTCTGTTCAGACGCTGACGTACTAGCAAATGAAAGAATACTAGAGGAAGAGCTGAGGGCAGACCGGAAGGTGGGTGGTACATAAAAAGCAACCCTTAAATAATGGTGGAATAAACCTTTAGCTGAAATTCAATATCATGAATTCTTTGAATGCCATGACAATCTGTCATTTTTGCCAAGAAAATGTGAAAAACTAGACCAAGTAACTGGCTTTGGCTGATGGTCTACTGACCCACTTATTTCAGAGGATTTGGGACACCCATATCCAGGATACAGTTCGTATGTGGAGAGACATCAGTAAGGTTTCTGGAAGAGGGTCCAGGTCCAGATGCCAACACACACTAATTCTCTTGAGGCTCCCGGATGGTGTAATGTAGTTAAACACCTTCCCTCCGAACCTGAACTGCATAACTGAGGTCACAGCTTCACTTAATAATCATATTTTGTAAATCTTTCTTTTACTGAGACATTGTGATTTGCGGTACAGCATTCCAACAGAAGTAATATATGGAAGAATATCTATCAACAGATTTATAATACCTGCCAGATATATATAGAATTAGTGCATACAATAAGATTTGAAGCACACAGTCGGTAGATATACTCCTGGATAATCTGTCTAATTTTTTGCATATAGTGAACATGCTAGTCAAACTAGGAACAACAGGCTATACTATATAACGATGTGGAACAGTTAGGAGTCAATTTCAGTGCAGTTTAAAATGTAAAATAAAAGAATAATGGTCACATATTACAGATTGAGTCAAGGGTTACACTATGCAATATACGGACTCTATGTATTGTGAGTAGTGGTCTCTATGCATGTGGTGAGTAGATATAGGTAAAATCAACATTAAACATGGTGTGAAGCTTATCTCAAGAATGGGGGTTACATGCGTCTAGAGTGAGTTAGAACATGCTGACTTCAATCTGTAGTACTGTCAGGAAACTGACAGGGATCCAATACGCAGAGTGCGCACAGAAGGAGGTACGTATACCGGACCTTAGAATGGCCGGACTAACGTAAGGACAAAGCAAGAATAGTCAAAAGGTAAGCCGAGGTCAAGGGAGCCGGAGGACAGGTAAGCGAGATACAAGCCGAGTCAAAGGAGAGGAGAGGACAACAGGACAAAAGACAAGCAAGGGTCAAAACCGGAAACACTAGCTAAAGAACGCGCTGAGTGACTAGCAAGCTAGAACCACGACAGGGCAATGAGCAGTAGTAAAGGTTTCCTTTAAATACCCTGTTACCTAAATAGAGACCACGCCCCCAAAAGGTCCGGAATAGCGGTTCCCGGCACTTTATGCAAATGCCGACGTCATGACGTCGACGCTAGCCGTCGCGTCATAAAAGGGGGAGGAGCTAGCGCGGCCGGCGCGAAAACGGCCGAAATATGCCGAAATGCTAGGGGAAGGGAGCCCCTAAGCAGAGAGGATGTCCTCCCTGGATACATCACCAACAGGTACCCTGACAGTACCCCCCCTTCTAGAAACGCCCACCGGGCGGATGGGACCTGGCTTAGAAGGAAAACGAACGTGGAAGGCCCGTAGAAGACGAGGAGCATGCACGTCTATACCAGGAACCCAAGACCTCTCTTCTGGACCATAACCTTTCCAGTCTATGAGGTATTGCAGCTTCCCCCTAGAAATACGAGAATCAAGGATGGACTTGATGATATATTCCTCCTGACCATCCACACGGACCGAGGATGGAGGAGTAGAGCGGGAGGAAAATCTGTTACAAACAAGAGGTTTCAATAACGACACATGAAAAGAGTTAGGGATGCGTAGAGTAGGAGGCAGATCCAGCAAATAAGAAACCGGGTTGATCCTCCTCAGTACCCTGTAAGGACCAATGTAACGAGGAGCAAACTTCAAGGAAGGAACTTTCAGGCGAATGTGTCTGGTACACAACCAGACCCTATCCCCCGGAGAAAAAATAGGAGCAGGACGTCTACGCCTATCAGCATGTGACTTAAACACCGCGGAACTACGTTCAAGAATTTGTCGAGTCTGATCCCACAACTTTCTCAGGTTGGCTATATGAATATCAACCGACGGTATACCCTGGGAAGGAGACACCGACGGAAGAACAGTAGGGTTAAAGCCATAGTTCAAGAAAAAGGGGCTATTATGAGTGGAACCACAAACAAGGTTGTTGTGAGCAAACTCCGCCCAAGGAATCAGACCGACCCAGTCATCCTGGTGTTCAGAAACAAAACAACGTAGATATTGCTCAATTTTTTGGTTAGTGCGTTCGGCTGCTCCGTTAGATTGAGGATGATAGGCCGAAGAAAAATTCAGTTTGATGCCCAACTGTGAACAGAAGGATCTCCAAAAACGGGAAATAAATTGGGAACCCCTGTCTGACACAATCTCATTGGGAATACCATGTAAACGGAAAATTTCTCTAGCAAATATCACGGCCAGTTCGGGGGAGGACGGAAGTTTAGGCAAGGGAATGAAATGAGCCATTTTAGTAAACCTGTCAAGGACCGTGAGTATAACTGTATGCCTATTGGAAGCTGGTAGATCAACAATAAAATCCATAGCCAAGCAAGCCCAAGGTTTGTTGGGAACGACTAAGGGCTGCAATAAACCACAAGGGAGATCCCGCGGAAGTTTATTCCTGACACAAACATTGCAAGCCTTGACAAAGTCTTCCACATCCCTACGTAAACCGGGCCACCAGAAGTCTTTTGAGATCAGGCAGTAAGTTTTGTGGATGCCGGGGTGACCAGCGATCTTGCTATCGTGGAAACAGCGAATAATGTCCACTTGGAATTTGGGAGACACGAACAAGCGGCCCACAGGAGTACGTTCGGGAGCAAGAGATTGTTCGTTCTGAATATCAGCGAGCAATGGAGAGTGTATTTTGACATTGGTGTTGGCGATAATATTGACTTCAGGAATAATAGGGAACAAAGTATCCTCTGTAGAGGTGGTAGGTTCGTGCTGACGTGACAAAGCGTCTGCCTTAGTGTTCTTAGAACCAGGCCTGTAAGTAAGCACATAATTAAAGTGTGTAAGGAACATAGACCAACGTGCCTGCCTGGCAGATAATCTTTTGGCCTCCCCATATACGATAAATTTTTGTGGTCAGTCAAGATAGTAACTGGGAGGACGGTGCCCTCTAACAAATGTCTCCATTCCTTTAATGCCATAATGATAGCTAAAAGTTCTCTATCACCAATGTCATATCTCCTTTCAGTGTGTGACAGTTTCTTGGGAAAAAAACCGCAAGGGTGCAGCGGCTTATCTAAACTTTGTCTTTGGGATAACACTGCGCCTATCCCTGTTTCAGACGCATCAACTTCAAGTAAAAAGGGTAGAGAGGTATCAGGATGAACTAATACAGGTGCTGAGGCAAAAGACTGTTTGAGCGTTTCGAAAGCAGATAAAGCCTCAGTAGACCAGGTTTTGGTATCGGCTCCTTGTTTGGTCATATTAGTGATAGGAGCGATAACAGAGGAGTACCCTTTAATAAAACGTCTGTAATAATTAGAAAATCCAAGAAATCTTTGTATGGCTTTGAGTCCCTTAGGTAAAGGCCAATCTAAAATCGACTTTAGTTTGGTCGGGTCCATCATAAACCCGTCTTTGGAAATTACGTAACCTAAGAAAGTTACCTGAGACTGGTCAAAGCTACATTTTTCCAATTTACAATACAATCCATGTTGTAAAAGTTTCTGTAATACCTTTCTGACTTGTCTATGATGTGAATTAATGTCTCTAGAATGGATTAGTATATCATCCAAATATACAATTACACATTCATGTTGGAATTCTCTAAGAACTTCATTGATCAAGTCTTGGAAGACGGCCGGGGCGTTACAAAGCCCAAACGGCATTACGGTATACTCATAATGCCCGTAACGGGTATTAAATGCTGTCATCCATTCATCTCCTTGTTTAATTCGCACTAAGTTATATGCTCCCCTTAAGTCAAGTTTAGTAAAAATACTCGACCCCTTTAGTCTGTCAAAGAGTTCAGTAATCAAAGGAATAGGGTAAGCATTTCTGATAGTAATTTTGTTCAATCCCCGATAGTCTATACAAGGACGTAAGGTACCGTCTTTCTTTTCTACAAAAAAGAAACCCGCCCCCGCCGGAGAAGAAGACTTTCTAATAAATCCCTTGTCTAAATTCTCCTTGATATATTCCTCTAAAACTAAATTTTCCTTGGTGGATAGAGGGTATACCGTACCCCTGGGAGGCATAGTACCAGGGAAAAGTTTAATAGAACAGTCATAAGACCGGTGGGGAGGTAAAGTATCCGCCTTACCCTTGTCAAATACAGATTTGAGGTCTAGATATTGTAATGGTATCTGAACGTCTGTGGATTGAGAAGTGTTAGCATAAGAGTTCACGGGGCAAACAGAAGTAACTCTCTGCAGACATTCTTTCCTACAACCCATACCCCAAGAAACGATTTCTCCACCCTCCCAGTCAATCTGAGGGTTGTGTCTCTTGAGCCAAGAATATCCTAGAACCACTGGGACTGCCGGGGAGGAAATTAACAGAAGGGAAATCAACTCTTCGTGGAAAATACCAACAGTAAGCTTAACGGGTTCGGTCTCATGGAATATTACTGGTTCAGATAAAGGTCTACCATCTATGGCCTCAACGGCCAAGGGTGTATCTCTCAATTGGAATGGGATACAATGCATATTAGCGAAAGTTTGGTCTATAAAGCTTTCTGCTGCTCCAGAATCTAATAATGCCATCGTAGTAATAAACCCCTTTTCCCAAGCTAGAGAGACAGGAATCAGAAGCCTATGGTCTTTTTTATTATGCATAGAGGACAGTAATGAAACACCCAAGGCCCGTCCTCTAAGGGAACTTAGGTGCGAGCGTTTCCCGGACGATTAGGGCAACTGAGACGTAGGTGACCTCTCAGCCAGCAGTATAAACAGAGACCCTCCCTTCTTCTGTACTGTCTCTCAGCCTCAGATAAGCGAGTATTACCTATCTGCATAGGTTCTGGTGGAGTAGGATTATAGGAGTCAGGGTTCTGAAATGAGGGAGCGAGTCTTACAGGAAGTCTAGTAACTCTTTCCCGAGTGTTCTGCCTCTGTCTCATGCGTTCATCTATTCTGGAAATGAAGGATACTAAATCCTCTAAATTTTCCGGAAGTTCTCTAGTGGCAATTTCATCTAGAATTTCATCAGACAACCCATTCAAGAAAACATCCATAAAAGCTTGTTCGTTCCATTTCACTTCTGCTGCCAATGATCTAAACTCTAGAGCATATTCTACAAGGGTCCTATCTTGTTGTTTAAGGCGTAACAGGGATCTGGCCGCATTAATCTTCCTCCCTGGGGGGTCAAAGGTTCTTCTAAAAGCCGTGACAAACGCAGTGTAGTTGTAGACTAAAGGATTGTCATTCTCCCAAAGGGGATTGGCCCATCTAAGTGCTTTATCTATTAGCAGGGTTATAATAAAGCCTACCTTAGCCCTGTCAGTGGGGTAAGCCCGGGGTTGTAGTTCGAAATGTATACTTATCTGGTTTAAAAAACCACGACAAGCATCAGGCGAACCCCCATATCGTAATGGTGACGTGACATGGGAAGATGCGCCTACAGTGGCTACTTCCAAACCAGTACTTAGCGAGTGGCTAGCAGTGGAACGTATTTCTTCAGACTGGGTACTGGAGCGTGTCAACAAAGTTTGTAACGCTAAAGCCATTTGGTCCATTCTATGGTCCATGGCCTCAAATCTGGGGTCAGGAGGACTAGCACCTGCAGGATCCATCATGGCCCTGTCGTAATGTCAGGAAACTGACAGGGATCCAATACGCAGAGTGCGCACAGAAGGAGGTACGTATACCGGACCTTAGAATGGCCGGACTAACGTAAGGACAAAGCAAGAATAGTCAAAAGGTAAGCCGAGGTCAAGGGAGCCGGAGGACAGGTAAGCGAGATACAAGCCGAGTCAAAGGAGAGGAGAGGACAACAGGACAAAAGACAAGCAAGGGTCAAAACCGGAAACACAAGATAAAGAACGCGCTGAGTGACTAGCAAGCTAGAACCACGACAGGGCAATGAGCAGTAGTAAAGGTTTCCTTTAAATACCCTGTTACCTAAATAGAGACCACGCCCCCAAAAGGTCCGGAATAGCGGTTCCCGGCACTTTATGCAAATGCCGACGTCATGACGTCGACGCTAGCCGTCGCGTCATAAAAGGGGAAGGAGCTAGCGCGGCCGGCGCGAAAACGGCCGAAATATGCCGAAATGCTAGGGGAAGGGAGCCCCTAAGCAGAGAGGATGTCCTCCCTGGATACATCACCAACAGGTACCCTGACAAGTACAAGCTATATATACCACTGGTGTCTGGTCCAATAACTAAACATTGCAGAACATGCTAGGTCAAATTACTCATACAGCTATGATTGGTAAGGAAGCGGAGCAGAATTATAAGTGGGAAGGGAGAAATACAATGAAATGTATACTTCATCAGCAGAGAGTTAAGGGTCTCTTATCGGGTATGTCCAATTACTCGGCTTCCCCTTTAAGTAAGGAGGACCCACGGGTGCAGGTTTGGATACCTGATCAGCAGATTGCCAACAGCGGTAGAGGTGGTACAAGTGTGGGGAAGTCCCAGTGAGCATCAACCGAGGTGAAGCAGTATTGGGTTCTCCTCCAACCCCGGGCTTGTGTGAGGGTATCACTAGTCCGCGGACTTGGGTGCTCTTTGGTGACAGGCCCTACCCCTGACTGGGGTATGCAGAGGATTGCGGTAGTACGCATCGTCCATGGAGGGTGTTTCTTTGTTTGTGCGGCAGATGCAGGGTGGCAGTGTCTCTACGGGCCCTCAGCCTGGGTGGGCGGGCAGCATGGTGAGTATTCGGTTGTGCGGGTCGATTGTCGGGGTCAGTCGGGGGCGACAGGTTTGAGATAGTTTCCTCCAGCCCCAGGCCTTTATGAGAGCTGACATCCTCTGTCCACGGACTCAGTACCTTAATGCGGCCAAGTCCCGGACCCCCAAGTGGCAGATGGAAGAACGAGATGGTATCCTCCGCCAGCGGCGTGCGATCTTCCCCCTGTGTGGTCGATGTCTTGAGGTCATGCCTCTGGTGGCTTTCGGCCTAGGTGGGTGGTCGTTAGTGCCGTCAGGCTTTTGGGTAAGTGTGTTGCCCGGAGGGATCTCTCCCCTCGCCCTCCTTGATCTGTTCTCCTTTGTCTGGTTCGGCTGGTCTGCGGTGATACGTGCCTGCAGCTTGTCCCAAAAGGCCTGGAATAATGCATCCAGCCTGGATTTGAGGGTGTCTAGATTGGGCCCTTGTGCCCGTGTGGAGTTCAGTGATGCTTGTGGAGGGGCTTCCGCCATCTTGAGAGGTCAGGGCACCGTGAGGTATCTGCTGTGAGCGGTACTTTGAGTCAGCAGAGATATCATTAGGCCGTTCGCCCAGTGGGGACCGGGAAAACGCCCACCGATCCAGAGGGGGGGGAGGCTAGCAGAGTCGCTTGGTGAGTCCGGTGTCAGGGAGAGCGGCCGCCTCTCCCCGGCTTCAACTCTAATAGGCCGCACGTGGCGTTCTGCGCTCCCAGTCTCGACGGGCTCCAGAGAGGTGTCTCTCATTGCAGCGGTGCACCCCTGACATGGGTAGTGCACCTTGGTAGAATTTTGGGCTATGTAGCCGCTGATTGTACCCCAAATTCCGTCCACCAGGCAGGAGCCCGTGTTACCCACGTCTGCACCGCTCGGCGGTCAAGCTCCGCCCCCTTAATAATTATATTTTAAAGGATCACTGCAGACTAATTCTTTATTTTAAAACCAAAATAACTATTTAGTAGATTGAATACCCAATGAATACATGCATATATTTATTTTCTTGAACTGTAGCCCTCCTCTTTTTCCCTGGAAGAGCCTCTGAATCTGTGCGCACAGTGCGCATGCATTTGCTTGTACACGCTAGCGTCTTATTTGAGCTCTCTGAAGGAGCTGGATTTCCTGAAGACGAAGGTCTGTGTACAGCATGCCTGCTACATGCATTAGCTCAGGGGAGCGAACAGAAGGAAGCAGCTAACCTCCTTGGCTATCTGACACCTGGGGGGTGTTCCATAATTTATTTATAAAACTGTGGATTTCTCATAGAATTCAGCACTTTATAAACTGGTAAAGGATAGGATAGTACTCACATGTAAAGCATTTCAGCAAGCTTTATGGTCCTGTAAATATGACTCCCTCCCACACCAAAAAAAAATATTCATGCATTGGATTCCATTATCCTTCCTCTCCTAAACTACTGCAAGGCAGAATGAAATACACATATTAAAATACTTTATAAGTTGGCGCCATCTAGCTGCAGGAGGTTTGTACAGCATATATTAAAACACCTTAATCTCACAATCATAAACCAGGGGTAGGGAACCTTGGCAGTGCAAATGTTGTGGACTAGATCTCTCATGATGCTTCGCCAACATAATGGGTATAAGAGCATTATGGGAGGTATAGTGCACACATGTGGTGTGCCAAAGGTTGCCTAGCCCTGCTTTAAACAGTCAATGGAATTACTTTGGTCAAAGCTATCCAACTTCTTTTTTTTTAATTTAATATATTTTTATTTTTCCAAAATTTTTTACAATTATCAAAAATACGTACAATACCTCAATGAGCAATACAAATATACAAGTAAATGTGTTTCCATTAAAACAGATGTCTATAAAATGCATTTATACAGACAGTGCTTCAAATAACTTTAAATACGTGTACATAAAAATCTGTATGTTGCAAAGCTAAGATAAACCGCAGTAGGATTAGAGTATCTGTAAGTTACATAAATAGCAGAATTGAGGTATCACCAAACAACATTCACACTGAGACACACTTACAGTCCCGAGGAACTAGCATTGTTCTAGCCATATATGCAATTGCTTCCCAAATGGGTGCATCTTTTTTTGCTAGTTTCTCTCGGGAGCGAAACACACACCGGGGGCATCATAGACCATCTATATTATAAACCTTCATTACTAGCAATAAACTTGTTAACTATATTTTTCCACCTACTAATTTTCCTCAAACCAACAGAGTTTCCTTGAATTATTCCAATTTCCATTTTACATTGGTATGTTACTTGGTTTTTAATTTCAGCCCACTCTAACGCTTTATTGCTTTACCAATGCCTAGCTAGAACTATCTTAGCTGCCATTAAAATGTGTATTGTTAACATGCTTTTTTCAATAGGCATAGAGGGCCATCCCTGATGTAACAAAAAGCTCTGTGGTGTAAAAGGTATATATATCTGGCAGGTATTATAAATCTGTTGATAGATATCCTTCCATATATTACTTAAAGATTTACATTGCCACCATACATGGAGATAATCATCACATCTCCAAAAAACATGATTCTGATCTTTATAAATTTTAGCTAGTTTTTCGGGGACCATATACCATGTTTATGAGTTGATAAAAATTCTCTACTATGTTCAGACAATGTACCGATTTATTGACCTTAACTATCGCACTTATCATATCTTGCTCAGTAATTTCAATATGTAGATCTTTTTCCCACTTGATCTTAGATTTCCAGACATAGGACTTCTGAGAGTCCTATAAGGACTCGTAACTTCTAGTAATACGGCCTTTAATTCTGTGAGTTTCCAGAATCTTTTTAAGATTACTTGAGTTTTTATTGACCTGGAAATCCAAGAATTTCGCCAAACAGAACTTGATTTTTAAATATTTAAATATCTCCTTGTTATCAATCCTGAACTCTATTTGTAGCTGGTTAAATGGCTTGATTTCCTTGCTATCTATAATCTCTTGGATATTCTTAATTCCCTTCTGTGACCATCCGCTGATATTGATATCCTCAATATTCCCCTTAATCACCTCTATGGGTCAGAATGGAAACAGTCTGTATTCTATTTTAAAGTCTTTCTTGATTTTATTCCAGTGTCTCAAAATACTGTCAATAAACATCAATTTTAGTTAGGTACGAGGTTGAGCATAAATCTGAAATTTTGATTTAAAAATAAAATGTTTACAAACACTTGGTATCCACATCTGGTGGGACACGGACATAGATGATTAAAGCTTTTTTCTTCTAAATGCATAGCAAAGAACTTTAACAAACTTTCTTGCACTGGAAACTTGTTGTTACACTAAGCCTACCTGAGACCTGACACTGGAACATATACTGCATTCTGAAGATTTACCAAGACGCAAAATTACCATTTTTAAAAAAATATTCTCTAAAGTTGGAAGTAACAAACTGTGGTTAACAACCAGAGATTTTCTACATATCTGATCACTTTGCAAAATATTGTAAGTTAGTTCTCAAATCATTGTTTGGCAAGTAATTCCTCTGGGCAATTAAATGCTCATGTAACAGAACAGCTCACCACCACAACTTCAGGAGCTTATCAGTCCTGTGTCTAAGTATCCAGACAGCACCTGGATAATTCAGAGGTTAACACTTACATGAGACTATTCTTCTGTAAACCAAAAGTTAGAATCAGCGTAGTGTGCATATGTCACAAAAATATTCTGTGTATCTGTACCGTCACGGACTAGTCACAGTGTGGTTTTCACACAATTATCCTCATTCTTGCCCCAGTTATACATTCACTGCATATTTATAAAGAAGGGGGGTAATAGATGGATGTTTTTAGCCATCATTATTTTGCATAATAATCTTATGTTTTTCATGTCTTTTTCTTTCATATAAATCTATTTTTTTTTAAATGTTTTCATAAATCTTGACTTGTTATTGTGATCTTACTCATTTACTTTGCTAGACAGGATTTATTTTCACACTTTGCTGCATTCTCACCACATTCCCATCTTTAACAAAAACATTTCTCATCTAGTATTATCTCTCTATTCCAAAAACATTTCGAAGGCAAAGTGTTAAAGGACCACTATAGTGCCAGGAAAACATACTCATTTTCCTGGCACTATAGCGCCCTGAGGGTGCCCCCACCCTCAGGGACCCCCTCCCGCCCGGCTCTGGGGAGAGGAAAGGGGTAAAAACTTTCCTTTTTCCAGCGCCGGGCGGGGAGCTCTCCTCCTCCGATCCTCCCATCCGGCTGAATGTGCACGCGCGTCAAGAGCTGCGCGCGCATTCAGCCGTTCGCATAGAAAAGCATTTGCAATGCTTTCCTATGGACGCTTGCGTGCTCTCACTGTGATTTTCACAGTGAGAGCACGCAAGCGCCTCTAGCGGCTGTCAATGAGACAGCCGCTAGAGGAATTCGAGGAAGGATTAACCCATTTGTAAACATAGCAGTTTCTCTGAAACTGCTATGTTTATAAAAAAATGGATTAATCCTAGCTGGACCTGGCACCCAGACCACTTCATTAAGCTGAAGTGGTCTGGGTGCCTAAAGTGGTCCTTTAAAGGGACACACTAAGCATCATAACCACAACAGCTTACAGTATGGTGCCAGGAATTAATTAAAGGGACACTATAGTCACCAGAACAACTACAGCTTATTGTATTTATTCTGGTAAGTATAATCAGTCAACTTTTTGAAGTAAACATTATGTTTTCAGAGAAAATGCAGTGTTTATATTACAGCCTAGGTATACCTCCACTGGCCACTCCTCAGATGGCTACTAGAGGTGCTTCCTGTGGCAGTGCTGCACAGTGTGCAGTACTGCCACTCAGTGCAAGGAGACAGTGAACTTTCCTCATAGAGATGCATTGATTCAATGCATGTCTATGAGAAGATGCAGATTGGCCAGGGCTGTGTTTGGCTTGTGCTGGCTCTGCCCCTGATCTGCCTCTTTGACAAGCTCAGACAATCCAATGCTTTCCTTTAATCTACATTCTGTGCTCGTCACTCTGTTGAAACAGCTGTGACCAAAGCATCTAATGATCTTATCGCTGCAAAATCCCAAGGCCACTACTCTATCCTAATTCTCTTTGACATTTCTGCTTTTGACACTGTTGATTCGCAATAGTTTCTTCTCATCTGTAATCTCGGTGCTTTACCTCCCTCTCCTAGCGCTCTTTTAGTATTTCTTTCTCTAGCTCTGCCTCTTCTCCCCAATCTCTCTCTGTTGGTGTTTTTCAAGGATTTGTCCTTGGTCTATAATTGTTCTGAATCTATACTGCCTCCCTGGGTAAACTCATCAGCTCCTTTGGCTTCCAGTATCATATCTATGCAGGTGACATGCAAATTTACCTGTTCTCCCGATATCTCACCACCCTTTTTGACTTGTGTCTCTGACTGCCTTTCTGCTGTTTCCAACTGGATGGCTGGTCATTTCCTTAAACTTAACCTGTCCAAAAGAGAACTTCTGGTCTTTCCTCCCTCAAGTGCTACCATTAGCTCTACCTTGCAGGCTCATGTTTAGGTGTTCTGTTTGACTCCGACCTCTCTCTTTAACACGCCATGTGGTCCTTAAGTGGTTAAATCATTTACGAATGGTGTAACCTCAAAGTTGTGAACACGGTGCCCACGTGCTCGTATTCCTGGTGATGGTACATGGTTTCAAAGAGGAGAATGATGTGAAGTTCCACATTGAAGCCTTGGACCGTTGTCAAAAGGACAAGCAGAAAAGGGCCACTTTTACAACTTTAATTATTTAACTACTTAAGGTAAGATGGAGTCCAGAACCTCCTGGCACTGGAACAACTTATTTGAGATAAAGTTTTTATGATGCCCAGAGTGTTCCTTTAATCTTTTTTAATCACTTAAACAGAAGAGGAGGCAACTAGTAAAGTTGAACTAAAGCTGTAGAAGACAAAAATATATATAAAATAATTATAGTTTGCCTAAAGAAATGTACCTTTGGGCTACCCATCCAATAGAATGTTGCCTGGACCCCAACACGTTTAACCTCCTCTTACCAATCCAAATAAATCTTCTTCACATATCACAATTTCTTTGTCTTACGTGCACTCAGAAGTTTAAATATAAACCAGTATCTTCTTTGACATTAGCAAAAGCACGTTTCATAGTAAGACCTTTCGTTTGTTTAGTGTATTCCTGATAATATATTGAGAGTTTATCCACTGCATCATTTAGTGGCTTCCTTAATGTCGCAGAATGTGGATCTCGAAGCCCGCTGCAGTGGGGCTAGTTCTGTCATAAAAGGGTAATAGCTCTTTCCTTCTACACTTCTGGTGGCCTCCATAATAATTCACTTTGATTCCTTGAAACAACTTTCAGCTCCTGATCTCATACACATACTTAGAAGTGTCTAATAGAGTAGCCATAGAATGCAGTCTGGATCGTTGCCATGTTAAATTAAGCAAAAGATTTACAGCATACTATTTCCTGGGAATGCTGGCTCCATTCCACTTTATACATTACAGACTGAGCTAAATAGGGAATAAAATCACTATGTTTCCTCATATCACCTTTAGTGCCCATCTTTCCGTTCATTAAAGGAGTTATTAAAATATGTCACTTTATTTTACAATGTTTGTTTAATAGCAGTCTTGTGATAATGGCTCATCCATTTAAATCTTTTTCAGCACTGGAGGTAGTACGCTAATATCAGCTAAAATCAGCAGAGCACTGCCTAATCTTTTGGAGAAAGTTTCTGAAATACTTACCTCCAGCCATTTTCAACGTCATAAGTTTGATGAGCAGTTTCAGCTAGAGTTCTATACTAAACACTAATCAAGAAACAGCTGTGAGAGGGGCGTAGTACTTGTGTTACTTACTGCACTCACACATCTGTGAATTGGAAGCTAGTTACCCATTAAAGTGAACCTGTCATGCCTAAAGTTACCATATATCAATCACAAATATACTCTTCCTGTCAAGCGCCGCCATGTCCTCAGCTTCATGGGTATTTCTGTAACACCTACCTCCAGCCCACCCTTTACTCCTCCCGCATATTTCTTTTATTTGCCCTGCTTGGGGACACTTAACCAAGCATGGCAAACCTTCTCTTTGTTGCCAGCATGCGAGCATCTGAACAGATTGGCATCAGTCACGCCATTCCTATAGCCAGCACTCGATAGCCAGCACTAACACTGTCAGCTGGGAATTTACCATAGCAATCACTCTGCATGCACCGTGGTTATTATGTGCGGAAAGCAGAGTAACCACCTTTGGAAAATATGTTCTTCTCTCCTTTGTCAGTAATTTCTAAGGCATAGAGTATATGCCAAAGAATTGACTGACAGGTGGGAGAAGGACCTATTTCTAAACATGGATTTCTCCCAATCTATACATTTGCTAGCAGATCTGCTAGCATAAAGTTTAAATTAAATTATATGCTCTTTCAACAGAGCATAAATGGACATTATAGGCACCCAGACCACTTAAAGGGATTCTACAGTGCCAGGAAAACAAAGCACCGCTCCCCCTCCCGCAGCTCTCAATGGGAAACCCCTTCAGTCACTTATCTGAATCCAGCGCCGATATCCTTCACAGTAGGATTTTCAATGCTTTCCTGTGGGGGAAAATACGACGCTGGAGGTCCTCATGCAAACGTGAGGACGTCCAGCGTCAGATAACAGACCAAAGGTCTATTTCAAACCAGGAAGCCCTCTATGGGTTGTCTGGTAGACAGCCACTAGCGGTGGAGTTAACCCTGGATAGTAATTTTTGCAGTTTCTCAATAATAATTACTATTGCAGGGTTAGGGAACATGGGACATTGCATCCAGAATACTTCAATGAGCTGAAGTGTTCTGGGTGCCTACGGGTGGTGACAGTGGCACTTTAACCCAATCATCACAGAGCAGATAAGCTGTTAAGGACTCTTGTTTACAATTAAAATATTAAAAACAGACGCAGAATGGAAGGATGGTGTCGGGTATTACAGCTATGAAGGAAGGTTTTGCTACTCCCTCCTCTGTAAAATACACTTGATTATACGCAATGAAGTGATCTGAGTACATTGTCGCTGTTCTCTTAACCCTGCAATGTAAAACATTGCAGTTTTTGAGAAACTGCAATGTTTACAATTAAAGGGTTAAAACTGCCTCTAGTGGCTGTCTACTAGGCAGCCATTAGAGGAGCTTTTTGGAGTTTCAGAGTTTTACTCCGTGAAACGATGCTGGACATCCTCACGCTTGTACGAGGGAGGGTGGTTAGAGAGCACTATTGTGTTACAAATACAACTTTGTATTTCTAACACTACAGTTTTCCTTGAAATAGTGTAACAGTTACCCGTTATGTATTTATATATGAACACAATCAGACGAAGGATTCTTTGTAACAACTATAACCTGCTGTTTGCTTACAGCTACAGTGATTTGTGCAACTATACACAGGCAGGAGCATAAATTGTTTGCTTTAAGTGTCAATTCATAAAGCTTCGTGTTCCTGTAATCAGGGCAGGATTTCCCATTAGGCATAGTAAGAACTCACTACTGGACAGTTGCCTGTTCAGTAGGGGGGCCTGTTCCTAACACTCATATTATGTCTTTTTGGGGTTCTGTCACCTCAAACTTTCATCTTATCTCCCCCTTTCAGAATCTGTTCTTCTTTTCTTCATCTACGATCTATTTCTCTTTAAAAGATAAGACAAAGTAGCGACTACTTTGTCGTGTGTATCTTTCCTGCACTTGGAAATCTTGAAAAAGGGTGGAGCTTAAGCCAAGCTTCTTGCTTTCTTGGCTTGACAAAGGAAGTGGAGCTTATCTTAAGCTCTACTCTTTTGTCAAAATTGTCAGGCGTAGGAAAAAGCAAATGTGAAATCTACCTATCTGAAACTGGGGACCTGTCCCTCGCAGGGACTGCTATCTTCTCCCAGCAGGTCCTCTTTCGATTCTGATAACTCTATCACTCATTGAGGTCTAAGGAGGATTCGCAGGATCCTCCACATTTAAAGTCAATTTCCTGCAGCCGTCACTGGCTCGGAGGACTGACACTTCTAGATGATGGTAGCTCCATCCAGTGTCTAGAATGTCAGGGATAGGAAATATACTGAGACAAAGTAGTCGCTCCTTGTCTTAGTATATCTCTTGGCTAGGTTTGAATTTCAGTGAAATTCAAACACAGTCATTATAAGTATTTCATAAAGATTTTTACGGGTGGTGACAGTGCCACTTTAACCCAATCATCACAGAGCAGATAAGCTGTTAAGGACTCTTGTTTACAATTAAAATATTAAAAACAGACGCAGAATGGAAGGATGGTGTCGGGTATTACAGCTATGAAGGAAGGTTTTGCTACTCCCTCCTCTGTAAAACACACTTGATTATTCAATCAATGAAAGCAGTAAGAGACAGGAGAACAAACCAGTTGTTGGCGTTGAGCTGGTTGTGCTGCTCCTCTGTGTTTGTTTCAAGGGTTGGCTGTGTCTCCACCTGGGTATACAGTTCCACAGACTGTTTTCTCTCCTCTTCTGCATCAGAATCTGTAGCCTTGCTCTCTTCTTTGTTCTCTGGAATTTCACATAAGATTCTTGATAGGTCACTATCGTCTGTCCCCACCAAATTCTTCCTGCTGCTTGTGGTAGCACCAAGGGGATCCTCATAGGACATCACTAATGTGCACATGGCTGCCCTTATTCTTTCCTTATGCTGTCAAGGATTAGCAGCTGATGCATAAGCAGTTACTGGTTTACAGGGCATTAACAGCACAGACCTTCTATACTCTCTTACACAGCTAAGACACTTGTATTCATATTTAATCATATGAAATATGTATGTAATGTAGTAGTAGATCCACTCCTGCCTCTTGACGGTGATGACATTACCGTAAAATCAACTTTAAAATTACATTATAAAAAAAAATATTGAAACTGGTGGATGAATTTAGAAATTACTAATAGAGGTTCAGCTTGATCCGTTGCAGACACAGAATCTGGTTTGTTAACTAGTCTGTCAAATCCAAGTCACTGGTCCAAGGAACAAAGAGGTAGCAGATTGTGAGAAGATTGAACCTTGAGTTGGGTAAACGAGGATTTGGCTGTGGACAAATAAAAAAACAAAAAAAAATAAAGTATGAAAAACACAGAATATTAAAATTTTGAATTTTAACAACCTGATTCCAGAATTCAGACTGTTTACAAATACAGAACAGTACATGTGATCGCAGATCCGCACACTGGGTAGCACAATATTTAAAATAATGAATGGTCCAGAACACCTTTTAATCGTAGTGCGCAATTATTTTATTCAAGTAAATGTAATGGAGAGGGATGGGGGATATATATACTAATTTTCACATTCGCTTTCACGTTTTCTGACCGTTTTGTACAAATTCCCTATTTTCTTATATTAAAAAAAAACAGTTACTCCACATTTTTTGTGTGTTTTTTTTCTCCACCATATTTTCTGTAGTGCACCAAAATAATCCATGTTTCCTTTAATTTTAATTCCTCTTTCTGCTCTTTTTTCTACTGATTTTTACTATTGATTAAATTCCCTAAAGTTAATATTATTTTATAAATTTTTAAATGATTATTAGGTATTTTTAGTCCTTAAACAAAAAGGAAGATTGTTAAAGTGACATTATGTCACCAGAACAATTACAGCTTATTGCATTTGTTCTGGAGAGTAGACAATCCATGCAGGCTTTGTGCAGTAAACACTGTGTTTTCAGATAAAATGCAGTGTTTACATTACAATCTATGGATAACTCCACTGGCCACTCCTCAGTTGGCTACTAAAGGTGCTTCCTGGGGCAGTGCTGCACAGTGTACGTTACTGATATTCAGTATCTCCACCCACTGCATCGAGACACTCAACATAACTCATAGAGATGCATTGATTCAATGCATCTCTATGAGGAGATGCTGCTTGGCCAGGGCTACGTTTGACTTGTGCTGGCTCTGCCCATGATCTGCCTCTTTGACAGTCTCAGCCAATCCTATGTGAAAGCATCAGAGAATCACTTCTAATGATGTCAGCCAAGCAGGCAGATCAGGGGCAGAGCCAGCAGCTGCAGACTTGAATAAAAGTAAGATTTACTATATTTAGGGGGACAAATATAGGGGCAGGAAAACATGTTTGTGTTCCTGACCATAGTGTTCATTTAAATCTGCTCACCTACTTCAGAAAATCTCCACTCTTTTTTATATTTTGGGAACTACATATTTGTGAACTGAAGGAAAAAAAAATGGAACAGAAAAATAAAGTTAAAATTGAGGCTCATGAAGGAATATTTGGGCACATAAAAAGAGAAAAAAAAGGAACAAATAGGAAAAGCATTAGTAAGACAGCTTAAAAAAATAACACATTCTATAGGAAACCTCCAAAATTCTAATTCACTGCTATCATATGTGATGTATTCAATGTAAAATATTGAGATGTACTCATATCGCATTCATCCCAGTGCCACTGTCTTCAGAGCTTTGTGGGTGTTACTCTTTGTCTCCTCCACTCCATCTGCTGTCTTGTGTGATTTTCCTGCTTGGAGATACTTCTCTAAGCAGGGCAAATCGCCTGTGTGATGCCGCTGAGTATGTATCCAGCATGCTGGTGTCTAACTGGAGCGACTTCAGTCACTCTGTTCCTATACTCCCTAGCAAGCGCTAGCAGTATAAGTTTAATAATATCCATACCAACCACAGCACATTTGTGGTTGCAATGCTTGGCAGGGCAGAAGGTTCGCATGTGGGAGGTCTTGCGCTCCTTTGTCTGTCAAGTCCTCGGCATAGAGTCTATGCGAAAAGGAGAAGGACCTATATTTAAATTGTTTTATTTTCTCCCACTCTATACATTTGCTAGCAAATCTGCTAGCACAATGTATAGTTAAAACGTTATACCCTTTCAAAAGAGCATAAGTAGTTTAGGCATGATGGGTCCCCTTTAAAGGGACAACACAGGCAGCCAGACTATTTTATCTTAATGAAGTGGTCTGGGTGCCACGTCTCTCTTGTTTTAAAGGAACACTATAGCGTTAGGACTACAAACGTGTATTCCTAACTCTATAGTGCCCAAGTTACCGTTTAGGTGACCAGCCCCTGCTGTCATGTTAAAAGGTGATTTTACTTACCTGTTCTCCCTCGTAGTGCTGGTCTCTTGTGTGTAGCACTGCTTCTCCCCTGGCTGTCACTCACACAGCCTGTATGAATTTTTTTTTTTTAAATTTTCAATCATATGTTAACTTTCTTTGGAAGTTTTTATCTCCTGCTCTGTAAATTTAACTTAACTCACACACAGTAGACTCCTGTAGGGTCTAGAAGGCTATTAACTGAGCAGTAGATAAAATCTAAATTAAACTGACTGCAGTAAAGGAAGTTTAAACATTAGATCTGTCTTTACAGGAATTATTCTCTGTCATCATTCTGCTAACACGCGCTTATAACCATTCTCTGTTAACCAAGCATTGATTAATTGCTCTAATCCATTACTTGTATAGACCAATTTCCTTAAGTTATGCTTAAAGGGACAGTATAAAATGAAGTTGTTATGAGGCCTTATGGCGCTAGGAGTCCCCCTAAAGAAATCTTACCATTAGGGTATAAACAGTTTTTTAAGACAATGCTCTCAGTCAATCAGCGCTGCCCCTTCCCGGTGGTAATGTGCGTATCCTGTATGCTGCCAGTGGAGAAGATGAGACCGGTGCTGGGGGCAACTTCTGGGTTAAACCGTTCGGGAAGGTAAGAGTGTCTCCAGGAGCTTCCCGGCAACACAACCACTTCATTTAGATGAAGTTGTTTTGGTGCATGGAGTGTTCATTTAAGTGCTGTCTGTCACCATTATCAGTAAGCTTACGTTTTTCACTTTTGTGAAAGAAATTCAAAACTGTAGAATATGAGATCATTGGATCTGTCCCATAAGCCACCTTGAGGTTAGTACTGGCTCTCAACAATATGGTCTTATTTATTGTGTACCTTCCTTTTCTGTTTTGGTTATTTTTGCAATTATAGTTCATAAACATAAAAAAAAAAAACACTAAATGCAAATGTTGCCCTATAACATTTATATGAGGGAACGAAAAGTAACAGTATTTATTGAGATGCATTACCTCAACAAGTCAATCATTAGTATTATGTAGTTTCCGGAGTCAACCTTTACAAAAGGACATGTACCATTACTTTGATTCTGTAAAAGGACACTATAGGCACTCAGATCACTTCATTTCAGGGAAGTGTCTTCGTACCATGTCCCTGTTGTTTTAAGTATATACACCAGCGGTTTCCAAACTGTGTGCCGCAAGTTATTTTCCCGGTGCTATGATGATACCACCAGGAAAATAATGGTTACCGCGGCAACGCTCCAAATCTCGCAGCTCCTGAGGCTGCTAGAGTTTACTGTCACCACCAGGGCTTCCCCACCAGGACCACCAGGGATTGCAGGAAATGTCCCCCCCAGGCAAAGATAAGTTGGGAGGGGGGACATTGTTTTTATTTTAAATTTTTTTTAAAAAGTATATATTTATTAATTTGCCCTCCTACCCCCACCATAGCTCCCCCATACACACACACGCTGCACAGAGCTGTACATATCTACAACCTAGAAAATTGTTTTGACTTGGGGTGCCTTGGAAAAACATTAAAATAGTAAGGAGGCTTGAACCTAAAAACTTTGGGAACCACTGATATACACAAAGAAACCCACAGCCTCACCCTCAGTGTTAGGTGTGGAGTAGATACACTTATCTTATATAGTAACAAAATGTTTAGCTTTCCCCAGGGAATTTCCCCTTACAAAACAGCTACAGTAGCAAATGTCCCCTCACAATATTACAGTTACCCCTACAGATGGAATCCCCCCCCAAGCATCTAAGGGGGGCATCCAGAGGAGATTTAAACACCATCCATTCTGTGTTTGCAATTGTCTTTTTTTGCAGATTAATCAGTAGTATTCCCTGTCTTTGAACCCTGGAAGTAAAAAGTAAAAACACATCCGTTCTACAGGAACACAATGTAGGGTTTAAATGCCTCTAGTGTCTGTCACTCTAACAGCCATAAGAATCACTTCTGCTGAAATAGCCGAGAAAAACTCAACTTTTTCAATCAGATGGTCTCACAGAGAGTGGTGTTTTTCCACCCATGCGCACTAGCATCCCATTGCTTTCTTATAGGAAAGCATTGGATTGGCTGAGATCTTGATGATCTCAGACAATTAGGCATGCCGCAGGTCTGAAAAGTAAGTAAATTTCACCCTTTAGGCTCTCACACGGTGGGGGGCAGGGTAACAACTATAGATAAAGTATAACCCTATAATGTACCTTTAAGGAGGAGATGAAGAAGGATAAAAAGTGAAGACAGAGGTTAGAAATAAATAAAAGGGGGGCAGATGGGAGAAGTAGAAAAAAATGGGGGTATTGGGGTTCACAGTAACAGGAGTTCTAAACAGGGACAGGAATGCCTCTAACCAGGGAGATGAAAACATTAAGTGGGATTTATGAGTATTATAACAGGTATAGTATAAAAGTAGTAAGTTTATTTATTAAGAGTAAGAGACACATTTTGGCTGCAACGTGTAAGTATTCATTCTTATAGCTGTACAGCAATGGCTGTACAAATTATTTATTTATAAAATATTTTACCAGGAAAGATACATTGAGATTTCTCTTGTTTTCAAGTATGTCCTGGGTCCACAAA